CCACAGCCCTGCAGGCCGGGCTGGTTCTCAGCCTGCTTAGCCTTCCTCCTGGGTCACGAGATGTGACCTTTCTGGACCCAAGGATCCCTGAGCAATAAGAGCAAACTGAAAATGAATCTGTCTGAGTGAAGAGAGACCGCGCTTGTTAACACACCGTCTGCCTCTTTCTTGACAGACCCAAACGATGCCTGGAGTCGGACGAGAAACCTTAGGACGCGGATGGGGCTGGGTCCTGGCCGTGGGGACCGGCCGTCTCGCCGTATTGGGAGGCAGAGGGTGCTTCTCCCAGAGGGGTCTCGTGGGCTGGGCCTAAAGGCACGCGGCCCGTCGCTCACGCTTCCAGGGGATGAGGAACGCGGCCCGAGCACCTGTTCCCTCCCTCCCGTCTGCTGCCTGCGGCCCCCGCCTCTGCTTTGCCCTGCTCTGCTTCTCCATCCTCTGAGAAGCCCCTTAGAGGATTCTCGTCACTTCCTCCTACCTGTCTCTCCGAGGCGCCCGTAATGCACCGGTTACAACTCCTATTTCACTGTAGGACAGACTGAAGGTAGAGTTAAGTGGTCCAGTCGAGGTCAGGTCGTCTCTCCGAGGCGCCCGTAATGCGCCTAGTTCACTGTAGGACAGATTGAAGGTAGAGTTAAGTGGTCCAGTCGAGGTCAGGTGGGACCGGGCGACACACCCAGGACCCTGACCCGGTTCTGTCGAGCCCGGAAGGCTCGAGTGTGGCCTCTTTTGTCTTACTGGATCTCGATGTTTCTGGAACACACGTCTGTTTCTCAGCGTGGCTCCTGGCGGCAGCTCAGACACGGGCCCTGGGCGGTGGTGGGGAGAGGGGAAGAAGCACCCCACAATCCCCTGAGGGGCGTGTTTTCCTCACAGGCGGCAGCGGCTCGGTGCGTCCCAGGGGACCACGGATGTGAGCGTGCGGAGTCGCACTTACTGGGAACGCCCGCTGGATAACGTGGGTTCTTGTCCCAACCCCGGTAACAACTCCCGATGAGCACAATGGGCAGAACGGTCCTTCTGAGCCCAACTCTCCGTGCCAGTCAACGAGCTGCATTCGTATGAATGAGGAATTCAGCCTGGGAAGCACGTGGCATGCTCACGCGTGGCAAACACGGGCTCGACAGCGGTCTGCCCTCGGGACCTGTCAGCAAGCTCCTCGGCAGACAAGGGACTGTGATTTCGGGGGCTTGGCGCCCTCTCCTATGATGAGAGGTGTTGGGTCTGGGAGGGAAGGAAGGCCCAGGAGACAAATGAGACAAGAACTCGGTGTAGGACCGTGGGAAAATGACAAATTTTCCCCCGACCTTCTCCCTGGCTCGGCCAAGGGGTCTGGTGAGTGACTGCGAGCTTGTGTGTGGTCGTGACATGAAGGACCACAGGAAGTCACTACAGACTGGAGTTAGGGAGGAGGGAAGAAAGCCCCAGGGCAGTTTCTAAGGCTGGAACGTAGGGGGCCGGTGACGTTGATCAGTCATTGTTGGTCCTTATGCAAAGCCTCAGGAATTAAAACTAAGGAGAGACACACGAGAAAGAACCGTGTGGGTTTTGGAAGAGGAAGTCAGTGGGAAAGTCACTTCGAAGGGACCCTGTGGTGAGAACCCTTAGCCGAAGAGTGAGATGCCTGCCCCCATCAGGTGCAGGGGACCCGGCTCGTCCTTCCACGTGGTCGAAGCCCCATGGGGCACACTCCAGGTGTCCTGGCACCGAGCACAATGCATAAGCCTCTGACGAACACAGAAATGACTCCCGTTAGGGGGTCAAGACGCTCCCTGTGGGTCTTAGGGCCACGTGAGACAATTCCCCCGGGGTAGCGAAGGCCGGCGTCTCTGTTCCTGTCTCCAGGAATGGAAAGCAGGACACGAGACAGCGTGGAACAGACGTGTGGCCGCCATGTGGGGGAAGAGCCAGTTTGGACTGATGAAAATGCGGATGCGGCTCTGAGAGGGGAAGGACGCAGTTCGTCACCCAGCAGGTGCTTTTCCGCGGCACGTGTGGCTTCAGGAAGCAGCGGAAGGGCAGAGCCGTGGAGTGTCGGTGTTGAGGGACACGGTCCCACCTTCTGTCCTCAGGGTGATGATGAGTGACCTTCGTCATAAGGACACATGAAAATGGCTCTGATCACAGCACATTTAAAGAGACAAAATGGCATCCGGCATCCGTTTTCTTAAAAATAAAACAGGTAATGTAGCATAGAAAAAAAGTTAATTTTATAAGATGTTCAATAGTGGTATTTGGCTGAAATATTTTCTCATTCCTTGAATATTTCAGAATGGGTTTCTTTTTGACCCGTGAAAGATAATCAGCCGCAGAACCAAATCCTTGCGACATAATTTTCCTCTTGAAAACTCAGACATGCCCTTCCTTACCTGGCATTCGCGGAGGGCACAGCGGCTGTGGTTCTTCGCCGGGACACCTGCTTTTTGTACGTTTCTGTTGTTGTTGTCGCTGTTTATACTTCGAATAGTTCAGGAGGGACATTTAACCTCAACTCTCATTTCCTTGGCGTTATCTGGAAATTTATAAGCTTTATTAACTGGCTTATTCGGGTAATTTCCCAGTTCAAAAACGGCGTTGAAATGGCATTTTAACATTATTTCGTTACATGTTTAACCGTCACGGGATAAGAACAGTTGACGTGATATCTGTCCCCTCCGCGAATTTTAAGCGCGCGCCGCACGCCGCAGGCCCGTGGCCGTAGGGCCAGTGCTGCCCGGCAGATGGCTGGGGCTCGTTCGCGACCAGTCCTTCCCATGTCCCCCTCTCTCCAGCCCCTGGTAACTGCCATTCGACATTATTTTTTCTTTGAAAATTTTCGGTCTCCCTCCCCTGAAAATCGCATGCCGAGTCGAGTCTGGCCGTTGGTCCGACTTCCGGAGTTTCCACTGTCCCTTGTCGCCACCCGCGTTTCTCTATCCTTCCGGGTCGTCTTTCCCTCTGAGCCGTCTCTTGTCTTATTTCACCTTGTTCTGTCCTTGGAGATAATCGCTTCGAATTAGTGGGTGCTGTATATACTTTTTGATTCACGGAACGGAATTGTCTTCCGATGCCTGCAGCGGATGTTTTTCGCAGGACAGCTCTTTTGCCCAGTCTTCCCAATAATATTTCCTTACTCTTATTTTGTAGCGTTTTTTTTTTTTTCCCATACACTCTGTATCGATTTCAGTTATGTCTCTGTTGGAAAACGTGGATTCATTCAACGGCTATTACGGAGCATCTCTCATAAGACAAGCACTGTCCGAGGTGCTAAAGATACAGCAAAGAACCAAACATGCAAAACTCCTTTTTCTGATCTATACATTTGGATCTATCTACACATTCCAGTATCTTTATCAAACAATAATTCTCGTATCTTACAGCTGTGATTTCTCCATCTGCAGAGGAACATTCGGAATTAAAATCATTCCTTAGAAATCTTGAATTTACAATATGATCTTGGTGCGGAAGCCAGTTTTTTAAGGGGCGAATCAAACTGCTCAGGCCTTTTTTTATAAGGGGAGGTTTCAGAGATGTGTTCAGAACAAATGCTCCGCAGGAAAGAATTTCAAACGTTAGCACATTTGTTATTCAGTATTTGACTGTCACGCGCACACACACATCCTGATCTCTACTTTCTAATTACTTAATTCGTGACCTTTCTGTTGGCCAAGAAAGAAAAGCAGCTTTTAGTTCTTAAATAACTTCACTCCTTGTCAATATCCATTTTCTAGGTAAGAGTCAGATACGTCTGCTGCCAGCTGGTTAAGCGAGGTGGGAGGCCGCCTACGAGAAGCATTAAGCAGCTGTAATAAAGAAGGATGATGCTCTTCATGTACCGACTTTTAAAATCTCCCAGATTTCTCAAATACAAAGGGGCAAATCCAAAAGAAAAGATATGCATTTAGTGTGTTGTGGCTTATACGAAAAAGAGGTGTAGGTCGATTCTGATGAGCTCGTGTAGACACAGAAAACCTCTGGAAGGATGTATGAGAAACTGGGAACAGCCATCACGAAGGCCTGGGGACGGAGAGCTGACCTGCACTTCTTAGTAAGTACGTTTTAAGGGGAGAAGGTCTAAACGATGCTGGGACTAAAATGAGTGGGAGAAACGCGCACCCCTGAGCCACGGGGCCTTTGGGCACCACCCGTTATTCAAACCTACACAGAGCTGTCCTCCCAGACCCTGCTCCAATGCCACCCCCCTCAGGGGTCTCCATCCTGCACCCCTCCCGGGCCGGGGGCCCCTGTGTCTCCCACTGTCCTGTCACCCCCTCGAGTCAAGAACACTTGGTCACACGAGAGAAGAGTCTACTCTCTTCCCCCAGAGATGACAGCTTCCCGACTTCTAATACATGGGCTCGACTTGCCAGATTTTAAAACTACGTCTGTATGTTTTATCCAGCTTTTTCCCCTCTCTTTTTCTTCACTTCAGAATGATTGTGAGGTGGATCCGTGCTGTGTGCACTGTTGTTGTTTCGTTTTGGGTGGGGATACTCTATGGGCTCCGTGACTGTGGAAACGCGATTTGTTCTGTTGGCAGCTGTGTGGATGACGCAGCCATGAACAGGCTTGAACCTGTCTCTCGGTGCACGTGGGCCTCCGTCTGCTGGGTGTGCGCCTGGCAGCGTAGCCAATTTTTGTTGTATTATTAGTTTCAAGGCCACAGGACACTGGTTAGAGTTTCTGCAGGCTGGGAGGACGTCTTTGCACATCTCCGTCCCTGTCACCGAGCACATGGCCACTGCTGGCTCTTTCTCCACCTCGGCCCAGTATCCGGAGTCACGGTCAAGCCCTGCTCCTCTGAACACAGAAACCTGTCTATTTTTAGGCGGACGGGAAGAGTATTGAGTACCTCTGCCCACAGCCTTACTCAGTAGACCAGATAAATGTGCTCATTTCTGACTAGTGTTCCCAAAAACCTATAAATGTCCCGTTTTTGTGCCCTGTCCGCTCCACTGCGCTCTACAGCAGGTGTGCGTTTCTGCACAGGAGGGCTGAGCGAGCCGAGGGAACCTCAGCACATGGAGGTCCTGTTTCTGTGCGCGGTCCTCTCCTGCCTGGTCCCGCTGAGCTCAGGTAAACACTGCGGGGCCAGTGCAGACGCTGCCGCCAGCCCCGGGAGGTGACGGGAGAGGCTGGGGGCTCGGTGCAGGGTTCCACCCATGCGCGTGTCCGTGGGTCTGCGTCCGCGTGCCATTAGTGGGTGCAGGTGGGCCCCTCTGGACCGTTTTCATCTTCCCTATGAAAAGTTTTTGAAAGATAATGAAAGGTGAAGGGACATCTTTGCTCTGAAGCAGAGAAAGCATTCACTGCGGTGAGAGACACGTCTTTAGCAGGAAATGGCCGTCAGCCGAAGGTCAGAGCCAGAGGTGACTAGGGACCTTCTGTGGCAGCCCCATGCCCCCAGGGAGAGGCAACCATCTCCTGAGGAAGGATAAGGTGCTGCTGTGTCGTGTCCTGTAGTCGTTCACACATGGAGTGACACCCCCAGCTTTCACAGAGAGCCCCTTGACAGATGAGGAAACTGAGTCACGGCCGGCGGAACGCATCGTCCAAGGAGAAATCGTTATTGCTAGAAGTGAGGCTTGACTCCAGCTCCCCAGATCCCTATGCCTGAGGTTCTGCCTTCGAGAGATGTGGAGCTATCTGTCCACTGTCCTCCTCAAGTCACGACAGAGCCAAAATGACATGGGATCGTGGCGGCGGCCCCATTTGTTGCTGAGACACTGTGCGAGGGTTTTTAAATCTTCAGGGCCCACACTATGGGTGTTTGGTGGCTTTAGATGGCATCGAAATAGACCTTTCTCATTCCCCGACTGGCAATGATTTTGTTGTTGTTACTGAGATATAATTCACGCATAACATTATATTAGTTTCAGGTGTACGACATAATGGATGGATGTTTGTATATATTGCAAAACGATCTGTACACTTAGTCCAGTTAACATCCATCAGCCCACGTAGCTACAATTTTTTTTTTCTTGTGACAAATAGAAAATACTTTCCCAGAGTAAGGAGAGAGATTTTCTTTTATGCTTTTCATTGGAGGATATAAAACTAAAAATCGAGCCACAAGCTGAGAACCAGAACTATTTCCAGTTTTTCTAGAGATCCACCCCTTCCCATTCCACTCTCTTCTCCTGCCTTTGCTCTCCCCGAATGCGTTAACTCACATCCGTCCCCAGGAAGCTTGAGAACCCGATTACAATGTAAGAATATAAAGAGCGAATGGAATACTTCCTCCTGGCAACCTTTTGAGGTGGGGATTATTGTCCCTGCTTTAAAGCTAAGAAGACGAAGCTCATTTAAACTGAAACTTGTCCCAAGACAAGTTTGTAAGAATGTAGCAAATATTTGGAGTTGGGCTGTGGGCTGGGATCAGCCTTTATTCTCTGCATGATGTGACTTAAATAGCAACTCTATTCCACTGTACCAATAGGAGATATGCCGCCTGGCATCCGAAATATTATCTGCCAGACGAGACATGGAACCTGCAGACTTTTCTTCTGCCACTCTGGCGAGAAGAGGGGTGAAATCTGCTCCGACCCCTGGGATAGGTGCTGCATATCGAACGCAGAGGAAGAGAAGAAGAACAAACCAGTGGAGACCTGAAGCGTAAGCTTCTAGAAGGCAGCTGGGATCTTCAAGTGGCCCCCAAAGTGTAGAAGAACCTGTGGCTTATAGTAGGTGCTCAATAAACCTTTGTCGAATGAATCTAGCACTAAGGGTGACGATCTGATGAAAGAACTTCCCTCAAAGCTTGCCGTTTTGTGTTTTGTTTCGTTTCGTTTTGTTCTTTAAGAGTCTCGGAATTTTGTAATATTCTACTTCCTTCCCTTGTTCCAAGGGTTATCTCTCACCTACCCACAGATGGGGGGAGACTTGAAACCAAGGCCCAAAGCATCTCATCTTCAGAGGGGTAGGAATGCAGCCCGTCTCCTGGCTTCTTTCCCACCAAATAACTTCTTGGTCAAAGCCAGCGTCAGCCTCATCCTGCCGAATCCCGGACCACATGGCCCATCTCCTTCCCGGCCTCCTCCAGCCGTAACCACCACAGGCCACACGTCGATGGGATTTTGTTGCTTCCATTCCAAACATCTGCTCTTAGGTTGCCTCACCCGATTAACACAACACTCCGTTTTAGGGATGGAGTAAAACGGAGGTCGGAGGTTAAGAGTTCGGCAGCAGGGCTCTGGGCCGGCCCCCGGTCCAGAGCTCGCTGTTCTAGCTAACGCTAACGAACGCACATCTGAACAGTGAGAGCAAGGTGGGGATCCCGCAGGAAGCTACCTTGGGCTTCCCACCCATTGCCCTTTGCTTTTCTCTGAATCCTGCTCAACACATTGTCCATACCATGGCGTTGAGCCCGTCATCTCAAGAGCAGTGAATATTCGTTAATGGTAAGAAATATTTTTTTTTTAAAAAAATGTGCTGATGTATGAGATGGTGGGCTGTCTCTTCTAGATCCATGGCTTGATCAGATACCTTGTTTCAGTATTTCTGTTCACTGCCTGAATCCAGTTGCTCATGAATAAGCTGAACCTGCTTTAAGAAAACACACTTCTGGGTTTCTGTCTGGATTCTCAGCTGAAGTTTCAGTGACTGTCAGGCGTAATGCCCAGGCCTCTCCCAGACGCTTCTAAACTCACTCCCGCATTTTATTTTCTACATATAATCAGACGGACTGTGGGCCTGCAGGGGCCTGAACGTGCCCCAAAGCCCTGGATTCCGGGTCTTGCTCCGCGTCTCTGAAGTATTGAACAAGTCCCTCCACCTCCATAGCATCGGTTCCCCCATTTTTCAAAGCATCGAGCTGAACATGTTCCCGCAAAGCCCCAGTAGGTTCTAACACAACGTGAAGCCCCCGCGCTGACCGTTTCTCAAAGCGGCCAGGCGACCTCGGGCTCCGGCAGCCGGTCGATACCAACACTGAGCAGCAGAGGGCGCGCGGCCGCCGGCGATGCCCGAGAACGGTTTTGACCGCGGCTGGCGAAGCGGGTCCAGGTGGCTAAAGAAAGCAGCGAGCAGCTGGGAATCCGAGCCGGGTTGAGACACAAGGGGGTCTGGATCATCAGCACTCCCGGCCTGCAGTGCTTGGCCTTAATTAGATTATAGTGACTCATTCACCTCTGCCCTGCACGGAATACCACCATAAGCCTGTGGAAATGAATTCGGTCCACACTGCGCGCGCCAGGCTACTTTTTAGAGCATCACTGTGCATCCCTCCTTATTTGTGACAGGGGCCAGGCCGGCAGCAGAGCTGTGGGTAATGAAAGCCACGCCTGTCTGCTTCCTGCTGCCACACATCCGGGCACCCCAGTGGCCTGGCGCCCAGCGGGAGGGTGGACCCGGCCGCGGAAGTGTAGCGAGCTCAGGGGAGGACCCATGGGTGCTACCTTGGCCCTGCCGCTTGCTGTGCCTGCGGACCCTCCCCAGGGAGTTATACCCAACTTGGACAGGATGGCTGTAGGCAGTGGCCGCACGGCCCGCATCGCGTCCTTGCACCCCAGGCCCGCTCCTACTTGGGGACCCACCACCCGTCCTTGCTCTGAGATACTCCGGCCTGCGGTCGGGGGACGGGGTACAGGCCGACCGGGACTTGCCTCTTCTCGGGGTGGACCCTGCGGGGGAGCGTGGACCCTCTACACACCGAGGAGGGCCGGGCTGCTCCTGGTGGCGGGCGGGGGCCCGACGGGCGGTGGGAGGCCGGGGCCACGCCGGTCCAGCAGGGGTCCGGCGGAGGATGCTCAGCGAGCCTTTCTACTCTCCTGCAGCGACTTCTTCTGAGACAGATATGATTACCCCCTCTGCCCCCCCGGAACTTCCCCTTCTGAGGTGACTCAGTAACTAAGAATGACAGGCGTTCCCTCCTCTCGCTCAAAGGGGCTCCAGTGTCCCCTCCCCCACGCGGAATCTCCCCGGCCCCTCCCCCGCCCCCTGCTGGCAGGGTCCCCCGCTGCAGCTGTGCATCCACCCTCCAGGACGGGTCCCCACGCTGCCGCCGTTCGCTTCCGCGTCTGTCTCTCTCGCTGGACTTTGAAACCCCGGACGCGGTCCTGGCTCTCACTCGTATTTACACCTTGGTGACCGGCCGCGCACGACCCGTGTGAACAGGTGAGGGAATAAACGAGCTCATCCACGCTCCACACATAGACTTCTTCACTCCACCGCTCCCATCCTTTCTGATCGACGGGCAGAACGTGGGGCCACCAAGGAACCCAGGACACCTCATGTAACCATTGCCACACGTGGTCACAGCCCAAAGCCTGCACACCTGTCTTCTCTCACCAGCAGCCCTTATTAGCTCTGCTGTGTTACAGCGCCGCCCGGCTGAGCCTGTAACCCGTTCCTTTTCAGGGGTTATCAGCTCCCGCCTACCCCCTCCCCTCCCACAGCAGAACTAAAGGAGCCAGGGCTGGAGACACAGGAGGTCCCCTGGTCCCCTGGATCCTGAGTGTCCACAGCAAGCGTTTGCCTCTGACAGCATCACAACCCGCTGTCCCCTGTCGCTCGGTCACAAAAAAGGTACCCAAGAGATCGTTAGCGAATCCGTCACTCTGGTGGGCAGCATCGTGTTGTGGAAAGTCTGGGACATGGAATCAGAATGCCCAGGTCCACCCCCAGTCGGCCACCCCAGCCGGCCTCACGGAGCCTGGGGCTCCTTGTCCATAAGCCGGGCATAAATTCTGTATTCGCTGATTTCAAATGACAAAGCACAGATGGAGTCCTTGTGAACGGCAGAGCATGGGACCTATGTGGCTCATTTTGTGATCTAATGTTTGAAACGTCTCGATTCAAATAAGACGCAATGAGTGATCTGAGTTGTTTTTCAATGTGGAAATAGCACATATCATATTCGAATACCTCTGAGGGGTGTAATTTGGTGATCAAAATACACACACGTGCACGTTTACACTGTCTTTCCCTGCCTGGGTACGGCCGGGGGTGGATTTCTCCACCACCCACGGTGAAATGGCCCTGCACGTAAGTTCCATGTCTATAAACTCTGGGTTTTCATCTGGACAAAGAGGCCTGCCCTGCCCATGTCTTAAGATCTCTGAACGCAGATAAGCTGCAGAGAAAGGCGAGAAGCTGATCCCATCATCTGCCTCTGAAGGTGACAATGCCACCAGATCCCACCTGGTCACTGTACCATGCTGGGGATGAGCGTGCTGATGCCATGAAAAATCTCTCACCCTGAGAAATTCAAATAAATGAATAAATACATAAATAAATAAAACCCAGGAAGACTCGGGAAAAATAGTCAGACCCAACCCCGCCTGCTCTCACCGGCACAGCTCTGCCAGGGCAGTCGCCCGCCACCTAAACACCGGGCGCCCCTCGAAGCTCTGCGACCCAAAGGGCTGAGATGCGTTTTTGACAACACACACAAGAACATCCTTCACAACAGTCCTGTTGGGAGGCCACAGGCCACACCCTTTAACGGTCCTGTTGCAATAGCTCGACGTACTGAAATGCCTCGCTTGGCGCTGCCTGCAGACTCCTCCTCCGTGAAACACAAGAACGCCATCTTCTAGAAAGAACCGCCTTAGCACCGTCATACGTTCAGCAGCCGAGGCCCCTGGAGGTTCAGAGACCACCCGTGGTCCTGGGCTATGTCCCCCACGTGAGGACAAGTGAGCAGCCGCCCCGGACTCAGAAGAGCGAGGGCGGCGGGTCCACGGTCCTCGCGTGCTCAGCATGGCTGGATGCCGCGCCAACCTGCGGTTTCCAGGTGTCCTCCCCGTGGACGCCAAGTGCCAAGTGCGCGGCGCTTCCTGCGGGTTATTCCGCAGGCGGAGACCCTGGAGACAGTCACGTGTCTTACCTGCGGGGACTCAGGAGCCCGTCCCAGCTCAGTCTGTGAGTTCGCGCGGGGGCGTGGCGGTCATCGTAGGCATCCAGGTCCAGAAGGATTCTGGTGCCAAAGGCCGAGCGACCCAGACCGGTTCTGAAGGTCCGGCTGGCGATAGCACGTCTGCCCGCGAGGCGGCGCTCACCGCGCCTTCCTCGGCCCCCGGCTCTGCGCTGAGCACTCGACGCGCGTTCATCCCGTTCGCCTCCGAGCGGGCGCGAGCGCGCGCATCACGCAGGTGCGTCACCTGAGGCTCAGACAAGCGAAGCCGCTAAGCCAGCGCCACGCAGCTCCGCGGGAGGACGCGCTGTTACCTGCCGGGGAGCGGGCAGAGGTCTTTATTGTGCCTGTTGAAGGGTTTCAGAGGCTTGCCTCGGCCGTGAGTCAGGGCGGACCCAGATCGGGTCCCAGTGTGGCCCTCGTTCCCTCACGCACGGTCCCCACGCACAAAGGACGGTGCGAGAGCGCGCTCAGAGCACCGCGCGCAGAGGACCATGAGTTACACGCCGCTTTTCGTATTCCGCACTTGATCTGCAGGGCGGGGGGGTCCTTACCCGGATTTCAGAGATGAGCAAACTGAAATTTAGCCGGGTGAAGACCGAGAGCACACGGCCAAGGCAGGGGTGGAAGGGGCTGCCGCCGCCCTTGGTCCCGCCCTGGCTGGGGATGCGCGGAAGGGCGCTGGGGTTTCTGCCAGGCCTCCTGCCCTCCTGGATTCGGGCAGCGAGATGCGGGCGCCGCGCGGCTGCGGGGCCGT